CTCAATAGTTCGTGGTAAATTTGTAATAGCATCATAAACTTGAGCACGTTATATTCTGCAACTCTCCACAGTCTAAAGGGTTCATTCCAAGTGTAAAGTATAGTAAGGTAAAATTAGACAGATTGTAGTCCTCAGCCTCAATGTGTAGAATTCGACTAAGGGCTCAACCATTCTCTGCCAAGTGTCTGATGCTTTTAGACGCGCATACTTTATCACGTACGGTTCAACTAAATAATTACAGTCAGTTAACTTACTTCACTATACTTTACACTAGGAATGAACCCTTCAGATTGTGGAGAGTTGCAAAAAATAACGTGCTCACGTTTATGATGATATTACAAATTTACCACGAACTATTGAATTACAAATATTTTACTTTCTGGGGTGCAGTAAAATTATTTAAAAATTGTAGTTTTTGGTCTATTTCTATGGCTCTAATTAAAACTTTATGTTGGGCATTAATTTTTATTACACGAATTCGATTTCCGCTCGGCAAGTCTCTCGCTACTAAGTATTTACTGTACTAAATTTGCAGTCGTTTGCGTGTTGACTAAACGGAAAAACGCGTAAAATGCCAATCATTAAATCCTTTCGTGTTATCGTTACAATTACGTTTATGTATCATTGGAGGTTGATTACGGCTGAATCATGCATATGTTAAACGTCTGCTGATTTCAATGGGTTGCATTTTGCATGCACCCTGTAGATACAAAGGGTGAGTTTTAATATATTTCCATGCTTTCACGCAACATTTGTCAACCATAATATACATTCTACAAGTTAAATGTTTAGTTTTAATGGTAGCAGCCTTGTATGAAACAAGTGAAGATTTGATAAGTCTACAAGTTAAATGTTTCATTTTAATGGTGGCAGCCTTGTATGAAACAAGTGAAGATTTGATCAGTCTACAAGTTAAATGTTTAGTTTTAGTGGTACCAGCCTTGTATGAAACAAGTGAAGATTTGATCAGTCTACAAGTTAAATGTTTAGTTTTAGTGGTACCAGCCTTGTATGAAACAAGTGAAGATTTGATCAGTTTGATTTGTTCGGCAGATAGAGGGTAGGTGAAGGTTTAAGTGGGGATTACGAGGGTAGAGAGAGGTTATGTTTCACATTGAAATTGTGATTCAAACTTTCATCCTTAATTCACAACCAGATTACACAACATTGAACAATGAAGCATGAATTAAAACATAAAACTAAAAAAATGCAAATACCATTAAACCATGACCATTTATTATAGTGAAATGCGTGATAATTTACATTCAACGTTTTCCACCAACACGACCTGTACTTCTTCCACCTTTTTGTTTTGTTGGAGCTTTTGTCTTCACTGGTTGTTGTGCGGCCTTGAATAAATGATGAGTGTTATTGAGATATCTTAGTAAGAATGGTTTACTTCATGTAAGAAGTAAATAAAAGATGTTTACTGATTTCCACAAGTGAATGCAAACCAAACAGATCTTGCAAGAAATTAAGATCAGATCATTGCAAGCACAAGACCAAACGTCAATGGTTGCACTTGCTTGGGAGTTCTCACAAATGTCTCTGAGGTTAGCATAAGCCAGTGCAAACATGAAAAAACATCTTTTATTTCTTTTATAAAATAACAATAATGCAAACAGACAAATTTAAACAAAAGTTTTAATTCTTCCTCTAAATGTATTCATGATTGATTTGCAAATTCTCTTTGATTGATTGATTGATTTGATTGGTTGAGCTTTGAATGGTTTGCAAACACAGCTATAAACTAACTGCATACGTTAAACTGTTTCTATTTTATGATACACAATATAAAGTGACAACGATTCATCAAATCATTGAAAACTTATGATAAATACTGAATTTCATGAAGAAATTTATCATTTGCTTGGGTTGGAATTAAATTCACAATATGTGTCATAATTTTGCCCGAAGTTAGTCATGAAAAGTTTGTCATACAATTAGCCCACACACAAACAAACAGTCAAAGTCTTTAATAAATATTAATTTCAATGTTTGAACATAAAATTTTTGTTCAAAGCAGTTTATCAACAGCAAATTGCACTGAGAAAGCCAACCTAGTTTACTTTATAATAGTTGAGTAATTGTTATAGCCTTTACATACCTTTGTCATCTTTTTAGCCTCCTTCTTTTGCCTGATTTTATCTTTAGCAGCTCTAAATGTTTTTAAATCATAAAAATGATCAATTTTCTCAAAATCTGATTCAGTTTAACTTTGCCGAGATTTTCAATGTTTCTCTCTGATTATAATTCATATTCTCACAGTTGTGACTCATACAATGTAGGTAAAATAGAATCTTCACTGAGAAACAAAATCAAAAATCTTCTAGTCAAGCATAAAAGATGCATTGTTTAGATATCAAAGACACAAGACGGTTGTGTTTGATACCTTATTGCCTGCTCTCTTTGTGCTTTTCTTACTTCAGGCTTCTGATTGCGTTTGGCCAAAATAGTTTCAAGAGTTGCACCCTGGATGGCTCGTTGGAATTTAACATTTTGTCTTGTTCTCTTTTTGAAGACCTCTTCAACTGAGCCCTTTTTGTGTTTTCTACGATAAAGGACAGTCCATGAAATCTTTCGTGGATTTCTTCTCATCAAGAAGGATCTCTCACATTTTTTGTCCAGGAAATTGAAAGACTATTAAAATGATATATAAAACATTTATTGGTTATGGCAAAATAATATAGATGTGATTTTACAATCAAGTATTTAAAGTGTGTTTTAAAAATAACTATATATTAACGAAGGGACAAATTAAGCAGTTCTTCTAAGTTGAACATTGTAAACGTAAGTACCTTTCCATCTAGACGTATATATCTTTTTCCATGACCCGGGTAGATTTTGTATCCACTGTAGCTTCACACCTCGAGTCTGAAAATTTAAAGAAAATAACGAAATCATCAAATACTAGAAAGATCAAATGAGAAATATAACATGTAATAATAGCAGTGTCTCTGGGTAAAGACTTATGAATATTTCCAAAACAATTAAAATCGACAAGTTTTAATCGCCGATTTTTAAAGAATTTAGGACGTAATACCGCTAATATCGATTCAATTATGAAAAAAGTGTTTCAGTTTCACAAGAATTTCATAAAATAACGAAAACGTTTTGCTGTTTCCTTGGATTGGAACGTATTTCAAAAGACTTACTTCCTTATGCCAGATCGAAGCAAGACAAAACAGTTGAAAAGGAAGCAGTGTTGCCAGATGAAATTTAAATAAGTTCATGTCGGCATGTTCAAAAGTTCACATATTATCCACCAATGTTCACAAATCGACGAAAATTGCCTACTTTGCACCAAATGAATGAAATGAGCTAAGTCAAATGTAAATTTACAATGCACATCTGTACAAAATAACAAAAAAAAACAACATTGAAAAACTATTTAGTTCGATTTAGATTCGTCGCTTGAGTCAGAGTCTTGAGCATAAAGAAAGTCGGTTGTCATATGACTTAAAGCATTGGTCGATGGTAAATATTTGACACAGCCTTCTGACTCTTTCACTCCTTGCTTAACTTTTAGAATACTGCAGACTGACTTTGTGTTCAACCTATTTCTTCCTTTAGTTATGATTGCATTCACAGTAGAAAAAATTCTCTCCACATTAATATTGAAGAATGAATTATGTTTGTCTCGAATCTCTAAGCCAGTGTATGTTCATCGTAAAAAACCTTGTCCTTTATAACTGATAAGTTCATAAAAAGTTTTTAATTTTTAGTAAAAGTTCATGAAATGTTCACAAAATTCTTTCTGTTCACAAAAATTCAAAAATAAAAATAAAAAGTTCATAAATCTATGAACTTTGTTCACAATCTGGCAAAACACTGAAAGGAAGCTCTTGGGGGAGCTAGTGAACACAAAGGGTTATCACAAAACGCCGATTGAACGTAAGGATATGTACAGTTTACGGCCATTACCGACCAGAGGATGAATCGTCTAACGTCGTAACCACTACTAAGACCACCACTAAGACTTTCAGCCAAAGTCTTATAGAAGATCGAACAGGTTTGAAATTTTGTTTGCTTGAGCTTGTGCGCTTAATGATGTTTCTTACTGTTTCAATGGAAGTTTGTGACCTACCCGCCGAGAAGTCCAGCAAATGCGTTTATTCATTTAAACTTCATTTTAGGCATGTATCGACAACGCTGGCAGTCCGATGTTGAAAGGCAGTTAGAGGATCAAAATGCTGGTATCCCAATGGATTTTGATGTCGAGCAATGGCGCAAAGACTGGAAGAAAAGAGTCGCCCTTCCAACAACAGCAAAATCAACTACACACAACAGTTTTTACTGTCTTGAGGGGATTCATATATTTTTCTTAGCTAATGATCTTCGAATACCAAGGTTCTTTCTACAGAGTTCTTGCATTAGGAACTTTGCTCGTAGAACGAAAGGCGATGAAAGCCGAACGGATCATATACCGAGCTGATAATAGCCAATATCTCTCCTCTAGTTGGCGGTTTGTCCTTCAGCTGAATCCGAAATCCGAATTCATAACGGCTAATGTAATGTTCCACAGAACGCCTAGCGCTCTTTTGATAGATACCTTGTCAAGGCAAAGATCCCTAACTGATTCTGCTCGTTCCATATCCGGCATACCACCACCGTCGCTGAATTTGAAACGAAATCCACTTTTGTTAAACGAAATCCACCCTTGGCAAGCAGTTTTCGAAGATCACTGGCTAATGTTATAGCCTTATCTTCATCTTTTACAGATTTAAGGCAATCAACAACGTAGAAGTTACGTTTGACTGTATCTGTAATCAGTGGCATAGCTAGCGAAAAACATTTGGTCGGGCTCACGAGGCGCCACCATGGTTGGCGCGGAGCGAGAAAATTTTCCGAATTTAGACTGCCTAGAACGTCGGAAACGGCTATCTTAGAAAGCAAATGCGTGATATTTATGCAGGAAATAGAACCATTTTGGTTAATTTAAATTGCCGAAGGATCTTATAGTAAAGCAGAGAAACAGTTCAAAAATAGTTGCAGATATGTGATTTATTTTCTCAACACCACATACATAAATAGATAATTATGTACATCTTGTAAAGAAACTTTGACAAAAGAACCGAAAAAGGCTCAGATTTGTCATCAACAACTATCAAAAGTTGTGATGCCGTTCATTGTCGTGCTGAAATGACAATCATCATTGACTGCATTAAAAAGTTCCCGGAAAAATTCTCACATGCCATGGACGTAAGACATCATCAGCTTGCTATCAGCCATATATGAATACCTATTTGTATAAGAAAGCAAGTCTTCGTGGTTTTCAATGAACTTCTTTACTACCTCATCATGCAATGTGTTGGCGTCTTCTTTCTCTGACAGTATGTCTTTGTGAATGGAAATCCTGCAAAGAGAACTAAAACGTCCTTGGCTCATAGTATTTCTAAGATAATTTTTTACCCTCTTCAAACAAGAAAATGACCTCTCAACTGAAGCACTTGTAATTGACAAAACCCCATTTATCTTTAACAGTTTTACAACTTCTGGAATACTAGATTGAAGATGGAACTGAAAATATATTTCAATAGTTCATCGCATGAATCACGGTGAAAGTCTTTATCTCTGTAAATAAAACAAAGTTGGCTAACTAGCATTGGTATGTCAAACATATCACCATAAACCTCCTTTAGAAGATTTATCTTTTCTGAGGGCACTTCACCTTTCCACATTTTAAACACCCTAGGGTTAACAAGGTCTAAAATCTAAAACGCTCCATATCCTGAAATTGCTCAGTCAGCATAGTCACAATTGTGTCAAGAATTTCAAAATACATTTGTTTGTAATTATGCCGTTGGTCATACCTGGTTACTGGTGGTCCCACTTTCTCAACAGCCAGGTCGTACACCTGACAATATTCTGTATCATTTCTCAGAGAAGCAACAAAGGCCTTGAATCTCTCAACCCTACTCACTCCATAATGAAAGTCAGTGTCCTTGTCTTGCAAGATAGAATAAAGTATGGATGACTGCTCAAGAATTCTATGGAAAACAAGTACCAAGAAACAAAACAAGAAGCCATTAAGGTAGCCAAGTAAACCAGTAACCTTACTTAACGTTTCATCATCCCAACCTATTGGATTATCAGTAAGATTTTCAAATATGTCTATCAGTTTCTCATAGTTAGAATGCAAGACATTGATGACATGAGCCCTATAATACCATCTTGTGTCACCAGGACTAGGAAACTCTAGCCTATGGGATGATAGTAAAGCTTTTCTTTTGGGGGAATTGCTAGTAAAGGTGCAGAAAGCACTAATATTAACAAAGAAAATCTTAACAGGTGAAATGGAGGATGCAGCTTGACATAATACTAGATTTAGTCTATGGGCAACACAGTGAACAAATTGAGCATAAGGATAATCCTGCTGAACTTGAGCTTGAACACCATTGAGATGACCAGACATAACAGATGCACCATCATAAGTCTGTCCAATAAATTTCTCTTTCACATTATTATATTGACTTAACTTACCCTTAACCACTGATGATATAGCAGTTGCAGTCCTATCACAACTAACATCAACAAACCCAAGCTGTCTTTCAATGACACTTTCCCCTTTGTCCATTTGAACAATTACACTCAATTGTTCTTTGGTAGAAACATCAGTTGCCTCATCAACCTGTATACTTAAGAAAGTGCAGCAATCTATTTCCTTTAAAATCTCATCCTCTATTATCTTATCAAGACAATCAATCAAATCATTCTGAATATCAGGAGAGACTCCAGTAAACCGCCCTCCCCCAGCAAGGTGGGTTTCAGCAAGCCTGCCATGTAATCGCCTTTCAAAAACTGAACCCATCTTGGCAAAACTTTCAAGTAGCTCTCTATAATTTCCTCTATTCAAGCTTCCACTAGATTCATCATGCCCCCTAAATGCAAGCTCTTGCCTAGACAAGTATAAAGCCTGTTTTCCACGAGCCACGTATCGTAACGTATCGTAGCAAAACGTAACGTATCGTAGCAAGTACAGATACGTTGAACGTTTTCCATTATTCGGCACAACGCGTAGTACTATTTTCCCGCCAAAGTTCAAAAACAATACAAATATTATTGTTATGGGTACTCTCAGCAAAAAAACTCGCTTGCTTTTACTTTTAAGTAGACGAATGAAGAAAGATAAATATAAAAAATCATATTGGATTCGAAAGCTTTATCAAGAAAGAAAAACTAAAGGAGAATTTTATCTTTTGGTGCAGGATTTACGTTTGTTCGATGATGAATTATTTTTCAGGTATTTTCGAATGAACGCTTCCAAATTTGAGGAATTATTACTTATGGTCGCCCCCAAAATAAAAAAAAACTGCGTGTCTAGAGATTGCATTGGACCAACTGAGATGCTTTGCGTGACGATGAGATATTTAGCAACCGGAGACTGTCAAACAACCATAGCTATGAACTATCGAATGAGTCCAACAACAGTGGGAAGAATCATTTTTAAAACTTGCAGAGCACTGTGGATTGTTCTTGCAAAATTTATAAAGCCACCTACAACTGAGTCAGAATGGATTAAATTGGCTGAAGAATTTGAAATAAAATGGAACTTTCCCCACTGCCTTGGAGCTTTGGACGGAAAGCATGTTGTCATGCAGGCCCCTGCAAATTCCGGTTCAATGTTTTTTAACTACAAAAAAAATCATTCAATTGTGTTGATGGCCATTTGCAACGCCAACTACGAATTCACTCTGGTCGACATAGGTGACGCTAGAAGAAATAGCGATGGTGGTATATTTTCTTACAGCAAAATTGGAGAAGCTGTGAAAAACAACAGTTTGAATTTTCCATGTGAAAAATCATTGCCTGGTTTCCAGGAAGAATGCCCTTATGTTATGGTAGCAGATGAGGCTTTTCAACTGCAACATCACATAATGAAACCCTACCCAAGAGAAGTTCTAGGTATTGCAGAAAGAGTGTTCAATTACAGGTTGTCACGAGCAAGACGGACAATAGAAAATGCCTTTGGGATCCTAGCTGCACGCTTCAGGATTTTTCGACGTGCAATACATGCTAGAGTTGAAATGGTTGTCAGGATAACCCAAGCTGCAGTCGTGCTTCATAATTATCTCATGAGGGAAGGTGCATGCTCTCACGGAGAGAGTTATTTTCGCATGGAACTAATTGACAAAAATACAAAACATGGCACACAACCAGGGCGGTGGAGAGAAATAACGCAAGGCGACAAAGGCTTGCAATCAATTAATAGAGATGGATCAAACAACTACTCTCGTAATGCCAAAAAAGTTAGAGAAGCTTTCAAAAACTATTTTGTGTCAAACGAGGGGCAAGTTATATGGCAGTGGGAATCTGTTCATGCCACTGAAAATTGTTTTGACAAAAATAACTAATAAGGCAGACTTATTATTAAACATGTTCGAACAAATCAATATATTATAAGACAGAAACAAAAACTTAAAATAACTTGTTACAACAAACTTTAAATAAAAAAGCAAATTGAATGTTCTGTAATACATTTGTCAGTGATGCTAATGAATTTCATTCTTCTTCTTCTAACTCAAATAGAACCTGTAGCACCTTTATCTTAGCCATTTGTTTAGTTTTTCCCTTCATCCCTTTGAAACTAGACACTAAGCTTAAGCAAAATAGTGTATCCTCATCTTGTTGATTGTTTGTCTCAAAACTACCAGTTTTACTAACATTGGATAAATCATTAGCAAGACTGATGGCTAAGAGGTCATCAATTTGGTCTGATCTTCGCTTGTGCTTTCTGACTGGTTTTGGGTTCAAAACCTGGTCACTTGATTGATTATCCAAAGACAAACTACTTGATTCAGAAACCTTCACAGGATCAATGATTTCATATTCAACATTGCTTTCAGTTTTCCGCCCACTACATCCCTTAAGAATGATAGCTCCACAAAATAATCACAGGTGGGCAATTTTTTGTAGAGCCACTTCCAGAACGAGTTAATTGCTCTCTTTGCGAATGCATCGACGATAGTTATCTTTCAGTCTGTCAAATTCTTTGTTCAATGCACTTTCTACATTGAAAGTAAAATATTCATAAATAAACTGCTCACAAATTTTACTGTTTCAAATTTAATGTTATACTATAACCTATACACATGTAGATTGTAGAGTACCAATGTTTGTAAATTTTACAGCCAAATACAATTTTGAATACAATATTAACTAGTTAATTAACAAATATAATATCAATAGTTGTTGTAAACAATATGATTGCTGTTTAAAGTAGTAGCAAGAACATTAATGCACAGGTAGTCAAATAGAACTGCTCAATTTTTATCAAGGTTATGCAAAGCTGTATTTAAAACAAAAGGAGGATCCATTATTTATTAGATGTACGATTCTTTTTTATTGACTGACTGATATGATTATATGTAATGTTTTGGCACTTCTTCCAAATGTTAACCTATTAATATATTACATGTAGGTGAGCAGTTATTTTAATTGCCAGTGTAGTTTATAATATTTACTTCAACAAAAGAACTACTGAATATAATAAGAACTGTGCGACAAGAAAAGTTCATTATCGGGTTTATTGCCTTATGGCATTATCATGTATAAGCTCGTTCGTGAATAACTTACCAGGTGCATTCAATGCTGTAGAAATCCTACGCCAGGCTTCAATTTTTTTTTGTCTTTCTTTGTGACTTTTTAAAGAAACATTCCATATGCAAGGATATTTACGTATTTCCTCAATTAAATTTGACAGAAACGAAGCATCTTGCAAATTGATATCTGATTTATTTAATGAATCCTCTGTCCCTTCTTGAAATAACTCGATGCACGGCTCCTCGAGCGACGCCATTTTGAAAGCATGAATTTTGTTTTGTCGTGAAATGAACGACTATGATTGGTTGAATATATCCGTATTACAGATTCGTACGAAAAAAGTTGACAATACGCGAACTTGTTTTTTAATAGAGTCCTTAAGTGTGACGTCACGTTACCATGGAGCTAAAAATTCAGTTCTAAACAAAATATCTTATGCGAGCTCTTTGGACACGCTTCCTTTGTTTTGAATGTCTAAAGCTTTAATTATCCAGTGTAATCCCACAAAAGACAATAAATAAAAACAGGAAAGGTTAAAGGTAATCCAAGGGATCAACTTTTGTCTAAGAAGTGTAAAGGACGCGGGTCAAACGGGCAAAATGGTTTACTGTTTTGCTCCTACATGTGGCCATTCGTCGGAGGGCAACACTTGCAAGTTCTTTGCTTTTCCAAGCGCTACAATGCTGAACGACGAGTACAAGAGATGGTTCGACTCATAAGGTATGAACTGATATTCAAAAAGAATTCCTTATTCGGTGAAAATTTGATGAATTACGTGATTTTAAGTGAGATTTACGGACTCTATTCAGGTGAAGAGTTGACATCAGGACATGAGGGAGAATCATCGAATACTGAATTATAGAAGCTTCAGCTAGTTGTCTTTTTAACGGTCGCTTTGTATTTTCCGTAGCCAAAACCTTAAATCTTAGTGCTTTGGAAGGTATAATCCATCAATTTTGAGGATCAAATTTTTATCACTTTAATGAAAGTACGACAGAACAACACACAGCTTCACCTAGCCCAATTGTTTCATTGTAGTGTGGCCACAATTTCTAACATTGTTATAGCATTCACTCATGTTTTGCATGAAATTTTGTTTGACGAACTAATGACGTCGATTCCATCCCCAGAAAAAAACAAGATCTCTCCACCCTCCTCTTTTAGGCAATTTGAATCCTGTCTGCACAGATATTGAGCTTGCTGCACCGGGATTGATGAGTCAGCAAAATGCAACCTTTTTATCATACAGAGGAATGAATTCCTTTAAGGTAATAGTTGGTGTTGCACCAAATGGAGTCATTACTAATGTCAGTCGGCTGTATCCAGGTTCTATTTCAGACAAGGCCATTGTGCAACAGTCTGGACTCCTTAATCACTTGACAGCTGGAGATATGATTCTGGCGGACAAGGGTTTCCTTATCCAGGATGTTGTACCACATGGTGTCTGTGTCAATATTCCACCTTTTCTGAATAATGGAACTTTCACAGAGAGTGAGGTCAAGAAAACAAAAGCCATAGCTAAAGCACAGATTCATGTCGAAAGAGCCAATGCTAGGCTGAAAGACTTCAAAATTTTAGGTGTCATTCCTTTGTATTTGCACTGCTATGCTGACATTTTGTTTCAGTTATGTGCAACACTTGTAAATTTGCAATTTCCTCTCATCAAATAGGGATGTGAAGATATGGTTTTTGAGTAGTTTTATGCTTGAAGACTACATTGGACAGTTTTTTAATAATTATTGTTGTTCAAATAGAAATAAAATAATTTGTAGACTGAGGCTTAGTTAGAAGAAAATACAGCTAGAGGGGTTGGGAGAGCATTCTAATATAACAGTAAAGGGATGATTTTACCTCCTAGGGATTACAATATTTATCATCTGGTACAGCCTGGGTGTACATAGGGTGTCAAATTAGATCACTGCGAGAATTCTTTTATCATGTTTAGGAGAACTGAAGTTAAAAGAAGTTTTGACATATGTTTTACAATGGATGTCTTTTTGGGGATAAAAATAAAAGCAAGTACTGCCCACAGTTACCCTTAAGGAGTCTTTCTGAACATTTCCCATGAGCATCCCATCACTTTTATATGGGAATTTTCCTTTCCCCCAGGAAAACAACATTAAATGATGTACCATATTTCCATGTCTTTTAAATACCATGTTATCCTTGTGTTTATTAATAAAAATGCAAATATATGTATAGCCTGTTACCACAACTCCCTCACACCAAACTAGTAGTGGTAGGTCAATTTGAGGACTGAAAACCGACGAGTATCATTATTTTTTAAAACAAATCGTTCATATAAAGCCTTTTTTTATTTCACTACAAGAGAAAATCACGCCCTCGTGTTCATTTGGGCAACAAAAACAGTGTAAAACTTAATCTTGACATTTGGCATTCACCGTCACTTTATAAACCTTTTGTTTCATTCTTGCGTGTACTTCTCCTCGTAAAACACTCTGCTGGTAAGTAAATGCTTCAATGTGATCTAACTTAAGTGGTTTCCCCCCTTTTTTATAGATTTCTTTTCTTCTGAGAAGAAAAAAAAAAGCGAAGCGATGGATAATGTCTCCATTTTGAATCGAATGGGCGCTTGTTTGGAACTGAGATTTTTAGCACCATGGAAACGTGACGTCACCACTTAAGGACTCTATACGCGTATTAAAATTGTGATACGCCTATTAGCCATCAAATACACTAGCACGCATGCGCCGTGTTACGTTTTGCTACGATACGTTACGATACGTGGCTTGTGGAAAACAGGCTTAAAACAGCTTCTGTTATGGTTTTCAACATTTCCCTGTTTTGCCTTACCTCCTCGTTATGACGCTGAATCTCTTCACGTCTGGCTTGTGACATGAGACAGTCGACACAAGGCTGAAAACCGTATGTCCTCCAGGTCTTGTAAGCACCCATGTGCGATTTTGCCTTCTCATGCTTCTTACAATCGGATAGGAAATTCTTCATGTTTTTGAATCCCGTCTGCGTCCATGAAGATGACGATCCAGGGCAAAACAAAAGACAAGGCCAACAGAACAATGCATTCTTTTCTGAGCTACCACAAAGCCAATCTTTCTTCGAGTACCAACTTTCCTGAAAGCTTCTATTGCCTGTAGTCGCTTGTAAATTTGGAATTGGCCGCTGCTTTACGAGTATATTTTGCTCGCCTGATTGTCGAACAGAAAATGGTTTCTTTGTAGTTCACTTATTATATCGATTTCATTAGCCGAAGCCATTGTAATGTAAGTTATCACGATTTCCGAACGTATATTTCGAAAGCTCAAAATTCAAGTCACGCTTTTGAAAATGAGCCCGACTAGATGTTGTTAAACGTTTGAGTGTGTTCACAGCTACTCTCAACCAATCAGATTACAGATATTCCCACTATAGATTTTACTACTTGGTCGGGCTGAATTCTCAGAGCCCGACTAGATGTTGCGAAACAGCGCATTTGAGTTTGCTCGGTTGCTGTCAACCAATCAGATTGCAGATAAACCCACTATAGATTTTACTACTTGGTCGGGCTGAATTTTCAGAGCCCGACTAAACTGCGTAATGCCTGGCACTAGAAATGCACTAGTCATTGTTGCTAAGTAACGTTTAAAAATATGATAATTTTGCTAATAACGACGCAATTTGACAAATATTACACTAATAGACTGTGGATTATTCCAAAAAGAGTCGCAGAATTTAAAATTTTCGCAAATCCAATTTTAAAGAAAACAAATTTTTCATTTTTGGGAAAATATTTGGTCGGGCTGGGCCCGACCAGCCAGACCGCTAGCTACGCCACTGGACATCACAAAACCTTGCAAAAGCTCTCCTTTGGGCAAGTTTTGGCAATATGACCTTGTAGGAAACAATTATGGTAGAGACCATTTTTTCCCACTATCCTTTTTCTGTTCTCAACAGTTTCTTTCTTGAATATATCACATGGAGATAACCAATGATTACCATGACACATTGGACATCTAAGAAAATTTCCAGCTCCAGTTTCGAGTTCAACTATATTTGATTACTGATCGCTTACATTGTCATTTCCAATTGTTCCGAAGGCATAGTTACCTCGAGAACCTTTAGGATCTTGAGCAATTCTAATTTTTGAATCAATATTAATCTTGCCGAAAATAGGATGATTTAATGCTCTCGCTTTCACCTCGACAAATCTTGAGATGTCTTCGAAAGTTATCTCTCTTTTTTTATTACTTGTTGTATTGTCTGCTATGTCACACCATTTTTGTCTAATAGAATAAGGTAATTTACTGAAAATATTTTGCAAACTAACCAAATTGTCAAGTTTGTTGAGGTAACCTATTTCATTAAGAGTGTTTTTGCAGCTGATAAGCAATACAGAGAATCTTCGGAGTGATTCGCCATCTTCAGGTCTGATTAGGGGTACCTCCATTATTCGTTGTAAGTAGGCCGCAGCTATTCTATAATTTTGACCATAGTGCTCCTTCAAAAGTTTTCTTGCGACCAGATATCCTTCTTCGGGATCATGGTGCTCCTTCAAAAGTTTCCTTGCGACCAGATATCCTTCTTTGCGGACCATAATGCTCTTTGAAAAGTTTCCTTGCGACCAGATATCTTTCTTTGTGGACCATAGTGCTCCTTCAAAAGTTTCCTTGCGACCAGATATCTTTCTTTGTGGACCATTGACAAGCAACTTCGCATAAGCTCATGTGCCTCACCAGATGTATATTGAATTAAATAGTACAAACGTGTATTAGTGCTAGTTGTTTTCGCTTCAATAATATTTTTAAACGATCGTACAAAATGACAATATTCAACAGGATTTCCACCAAGTGTTGGTACTTGAGCGTTAGGTAGTGACATTGAAAGAGCTTATTGTTGGTGTTCACCAAGCAGTTCCTGGAAATCATTGTCCCTAGCCTGTTGCATTCTCAGTATCCGTTGACTTTGCTGCTGCTGTTGATTTTGTATATCCAACATAACGTGCAAGAAAATTTTTGCTAGTTCTGAATCATCCAAATTTCCAATCTTTGATGCGTCTAATTCGTGAACCGTTTTAAACGACTATCGCGTTACGACCGATTTTGGTTGTTCCTGCAAAACATGAGATCCTTTATGAGTTTTATCTCTTGTTGGTGCATTTACACCAGCATCTTGAGGGAGTGGTCGAGAAGTTGGCAGTATTGGTTGAGTGTGGTTGTCGCCGTTCGTTTGCTAACATGGAACTTTATTGTATTTAACGTTTACTGTTAGCATCCTCCTTCCCTATTTCTGCCTCAATTCTGCCATATTTCATGAGAATCTGTTTGATTTATTATTGAAGACAGCCGGGCAAAGGCTCCATAAGTTCCAGCTACACTGTAAGCCACTTCTTCTGCTTCAACTTTCGCTATTTCAGCCTTTAGCTGTAGTTGGTGTCTCCTTTGTTTAAGGCGCATTTTTTCTTCTTCGTGTCGTTGTCGGTGAATCAACTCTTAATATTTTAAGTAAAGCTCTTGTTCGTCTATAGATTGATGTTCCTTCAAAGCAGTTGCTTCGACTATCAAAGCTGCTTTCTTTGCTGCTACCATTGCTTTTCCACTTAGGTTATTTGACCGGGCTTTGGATCTAGATAAACTTATGATTGAACTACGTTATCTAACACGGCTCTACTCTCCGACGTTACTAATCGAGTCACTTGGCTTTATCTCGACTTCTGACATCGATGGTTGTTTTGTAAACTCTCTGAGCCATTTGTTTAAGGTCCTTTGAAAATTTTCAAGTCTTTGTTCTTCAATTTGAAGGTATTTGTTTGAGTCTTGGTCATAGGCGTACGGGCACATATTTTTAGGGGGAGCTGGACTAAATTTGCCCGAATTATATGACGTCATATGACGTATGACGTCATAGATATTCTTATGTTGTCTCTGGCCATCTCAATTAATAAGCTAAAATCATTACAATTTGCTAAGAGGATGCTACGAAAGTAACTACATTTTATTTGATATTTGAAATTTTGTCATATATAACACTAGACGCAGAAGAAATTTAGTTAGTTAAATGTGCGACGATCTAAGACTAAAAGAAATAAGATTTACGATTACGTCGCTGTCCAAAAATGTTAATTATCTTTTCCATGTCGTTCTTTAAAGTACTATTTGCATAGGCTCTTTCCACATTGATTAGGGCAATGCTGTTTAACCGTTTTGACCAATTGTACTTCGAAGATAGGTTTTAAGCGACGAAGAGCGCTAAAAGATCTTTCTGCTGAGCAGGATGTTGCCGGGATCGCGGCCAGAATCGAAAATACTTTGTAAGCCACAGGCAGGACTTCATGAACACCATTTTCGAACATTCTCTTAACAATTTTGGCAGCGTTTTCTCTCAGCACAAGGGAAATCAACGTCAATATTCTCAAAGACATTTTTCTCGCTACTAAGAAGCTCACTGTCGATACCATAGAAGTGTGATACCAACTCAACATTCGCCGTGGTTGGAGACCTGTTGAACACAATATCTGCAAGTGCCAATAGGACCTCTTGATCACTACCTTCAAATCTTGATTTCATCTCCGCCACAATCTTGTCAATGCTTAGGTAGTAGCATGTGATACGATAGTAATCTTTTCTGTTCGATTTTCCACTTCTGCATTTACTTCAGCCATTTCACCGACGAGAGCTTGGAGCCGCCGTGACGGCTGTTGGAATCTTGGTACTTTTGCATCTTTGAAATTGAATTCTGTACCTTCAATTTGCTCCTTAATTTTGTGTGCTATGATTTCAGCCCGTGACCATAACAGTTCGAAATTTTCGAGGGAACGACATCCAATTAATGTCTTAATCACGCCATCAACACTCTTCTTTGCTGTGGCGACATCCATTTGCTTTCCTTGTAGGTACCTGCTCAAACCATCGGTGTTAGATAAAATAACCTTTAATACCATCAAACCAAAAACGAACCGAAAGTCGCAAATCGAGTTAAGTAGCGAATTGCTGTCATTGTAGGTCTTCGGATCGCGATCTTTTGAGAGTGTAAGGAGAACCTCGATGATCTTAGGTAATTGGTTTACTACTGCTTTTACAGCTGCCCAACGACAAGACCATCTAGTAGCACTCTGCGATTTAATAGTCAGTGTAATATCTTCGTCCTCATCTTCGACCTTGATGTCATTGAAGATGGAGTGGCGTTTGGGACTTCCTTCCAAGAAATTATGGAGACTCTGGATCACACCTAAAGCTTTCTGAAGTGGCTCAATTGTAGTCATCGTATCTTGTAGCGCCAAGTTAAGCCGATGCCCATGGCAGTGAACATAGATGCTAAGAGGTGAGCACTCCTTCATGCGTGCAGCAAGTCCTTTGCGAGGGCCACTCATATTTGCAGCGCCATCAAAGCATTCTGCGACAATGTTTTCCAATGTCAACTCTAGCCTGCCAATGGCTGTCTTTAACAGCTCATACAATACTTCTCCTTCCGTAGATTTGGTTGAATAGAAACCAGTGAATGTCTCTTTGGTTTCGCCATTGAAAACATATCTGAGGAAAAGAGATAATTGCTCTGTTCGACTGATGTCTGCCGTTTCATCGACAACTATTCCGTAGTAGTCGCTACTTCTTGCTTCTTCTGCTATCCTCTCAAGCATGACACTTGCTACTATTTCCAGTAGTTCATTTTGAATAGCAGGGGATGTCCACTGAGCATGTGTCTGCAGCTGGCTTTGAAGTTTAGATTTCAGCCAAGGCAAATCGTTGCATCTTATGCAAAGTAACTCGAGAAAGTTTCCTCTATTTATATCAGATATCTCCCATATATCACCCCGAATCTCTTCATGACCTCTAATTGCAACATTTTGTTGTGCAGTGTACATCAAAGATTGTATGATTACTTTTAAGTATTGTCTGTTAATAGCAACCTGGTCCTGGTGTGCACTATTCAGCTGTTGTAGTACGGAGGTTTTCTTTCTTTCCATTGCTTTAAACTGGAGCCATCTTGTCATGGATCTGACGTGGTTCTCACTCTTGCCATGTTTTGCCAGCTTTGACGACTTCTTCCAATTTGTAAGCACAAATGAAGTATTCTTCCCAAATTCTTTACAGGCAAAACAAACGCATGCATCTTTATCCACTTCGTAACTAATCCATGGATATTTCTTGTACCATTCAGGCTGAAATCGTCGCACAAATGTTTCACTGCCGAATTTTCGTGCAGGATATTCACCTAATATAGGCTGTTTTGGGGCGTGCAAGGTGGAAATCTCTTCTTCATTCATACTGTTAAGGAAACCTTTCTAGTCTGTTCATTTAGAACAGATGCTGTTGAATCTAAATCTTGTATTGCTGTTGTGTCTAGAGTGTTAGACGTCGTCGTTGATTCTGGTGTTGCAACGCGTTGTATATTTTGATTTAAGTTAAATTCTTCGATGAACAGTGCGTCACTGGAAGTAAGATTTTCATTATCCGTGACCGTATTCAATTCTTTATTTTCTCTGAACTGCGTCAGTGGATTTAATTCATCAACATCAATAAACGTTCTCATTGGTTCCGTTTGGTCTTCGCTTATGGGCTCCTTCAAATTAATCTCAGGTAGATTTTCCTCAAAAGACCCAGTGGCTGCTAAATCTTTACTAGCACTCGATTCTGTTTCCTGTAAGGTTAGGTTATCATCCTTGGTTGTCATGTTACTTTTTACAAAGAAACCACTGATCTTTGACTGCGATAAATCCGATGAATCCATCACTCGATGACACTTAACTTTTCATTATTGTGAACTCGTCGAAAGTGGACCTCCTTATAATCACTGTCAATTTCCTTGCTGCATTCCTCGCACCAAACGCGATGTCGATACGGTCGTTTACGAGACGCCATATGTACGCTTTATTAGAGCTTGGCTACTAAATGTTTTCCCCTTGTGGATAATAGTTTCCTTGAACAACAATCAT